TTTATTTGAAACTAACGAGCAAAGTTTATATTTCCTTTGCGTAAGATAATTTGGAAAGAAAAAGAAAGATGAAAGAAAAAATTACGTTTTTATACTCTTTTTCACGCAACCTTTCCACATCCATCAAACTGTCTTAAACTATAATTCAAGACCTAAGTGCATCTTCGTGTGATTGATAAGGCGAAAGGTCGAAGACGTTTAAAAACGAGGATCGAATGAAGACATGACAAATCGTTCGATCACGATAAATGATACGTTGAAGATTGTATACGAAGTTCGATTAATCCTCGAAGTACCGATTCAACATTGAACGTCTCGAAAAAGTTTCGAAATTTCATTTCGATTAAAGAGGGGGTCGCTATAAATCCTTAACTACGCTCTCGAAAACCAAGTTCAAAGACATATCTAAATACATAGCTTGGGTACTTCAAGGGTTAAACAAACTTATCGTCTCGAATGGCGACCACGATCGAATCGAACGTCCCCCGCCATAATTCGTGTCTTATCGAACGGGACTCGAAGATATAAATCATCATGTCGATTAACGATCATCGACTCACGAGGATATAAATCGTCAACCATTCTCATTTTCGAAACGAGAGAAAAATATATATATATTAAAAAAAAAAAAATAAAAGCAGAAGTTGGTACCTTTAATCGCGCTTAATGTAATTTATATCGGTGTTTCAGAATTTTTTTCCTGCATCCTCCCTCTCTTTCTCAGATCTGGTCTTTTTCTCGCGTTAACGACGTCCCTGGAAACGATAAAACCTCCTCTGCAATGTTCACCGACTTGGTGTATCCGTCGTTGTCGTGTACGCGTTAATATATCAGAGTTACGTTCTTTATTAAATTAGAATCTCTCGCATCGTCGTCGGTGAAATTTCGCTTGGCTCGTGGATTACATCGTGAATGTATTAAAAACTTTAATGTATTATGGAAATTATGAGACGAGATAAAAAAAAAGGAAAATAAATAAATTTTTCGTAATTTCGAAATTTCGAGCCGTTTCAATCTTCCTGTGACTATTCTTTTCTTTTTTTTTTTTTCTTTTTTCTCTTTTTCTTTGAAAGGGTTGTATAATGCTAATGTTTCTCTTTCTCTCTTCTTTCGATCTGTTTCTCTTTCACTCGCTCTTTCGCTCATTTTCTTTTCTTTTTTTTTTTTGTTTTTTTCCTTACATTCTCTCTGCCTTTCGGTTCGTATGGTTGATGAGTTACCTGACTGAGCTTCTGGTACAGCGAAACAGAAAACAAGAAAGACACACCGCCAGTTGGCTTATTTCGATTTCGACCGGCCCGAAACGACGCCAAGGCTTCGTGGTTGTCTCTTCGAAAATTAACCATCGATCATTTCGATCGGATCCCAATTTTTTTCTATCTTTCGATTTTCGTTTCTGTTTTTTTTTTTTTTTTTTTAATCTTCCATTCAAAATGTCCAAATAATAATTACAAAAAACAACTGTCTCGTACGTGTAATAAATCCTGTAGAAGAAAAAAAGTTCGATAAAATTTACGATTTAAAATTGAAGAATCGAAATTTCCAATTGAATACTATGAAAAAAGGAAAAAAAAAGAACCCTTGAAAATTTATTCGAATAAGAAATTCACTGTGAAATATTCAATAATTTTGCGATTAAAGTTTCGAGGAAAATTTTTCGAAGAAACAAAAAAAAGAAACGAGACAGCCTCGGGTATCGTTTCCGGCTAGGGCACAGTCCCCCCCCAGGATCCACGATGATTTCACAAGAACCGCGCGCGTCGCGTTTCCACGTTTGAAAGGGAAGCGAAAGAAAAAGAGGAGAGAAAAGGTTTCACGCCCGAGATCTCGACGAGGATCAAGCATGAAGCGATCGTTGACGGTGCGTGTGCGGTATACCATGATCAAGCGTGAATTTTACGAGACTCGAAACCGTGAAACCGGACCCCGACCATGTCGAGGATGCGCATCCCGGCATCCGCGGAACGTGGATCCCGGACAGGGGACATTTCTATTTATCTTTCGAGCAAGGAACTTCTCTGGAAAACCAACGCTCTCCGTTCTTTTCGATCGAACTTTGAATTCCAACTCGTTCCATGATCGTGTGTTTTTTTTCCTTCTCGATTTCTTTTTTTTCTTTTTTTTTTTTTTTTTTTTTTTATTGCAATGACTGTTCCTTCTTTCTTATTTATAGAATGTTATTTCTTTGTATAACACGAGAGAGATTGGCGACGAGAGATTTCTTTTGAGATTTTCGTATTATATTGGATAATCGTGACGTGTTGTTATAAATGCGAATTATAAAAAAATATTTTTATATCTTTTGCACTCGATAAATGAATTTTCAAATTTAATTTTCAACCCTTACGTATACATATGTTTTAAGAGGGAGGAAATTAGTGGATGTCGATGATTAATAATATCGACGTACAAAAGATCAGAGGATAGGAAATTAATCGAAAAATTCAGAAATTCTCTCTCTCTCTCTCTTATTTTTCCATCTATCCATAAAGCTTCATGAAAACCAATAACAATTTTTCAACTAACTCTATACCTCGATAACAACTGAACGAAACAAACTATCCCCTTCATCGGCCACAATAAATTGCTCTGGGTGTTTGCTTATCTTAACTTGGTAAACAACCGATATAAAAAGACGATAAATAAAGCGGATAATGATATGAAAAAATTCTAGCGTAAAACTCTTTCCCCCGAATTACTAAACATTCCTCGATATAATTACTATTTAACGAGTTATTTTTTAAACTTTTAAAGCTCCTCTCGAGAATTGTTATATTCAAAACACGAATATGTACGCATACACAGACTACTAATAAATAAAAATAAATAAATTCGTGAAACCGATTCTATCGATCGAAACAGACACAAAAATTCGTATAACATAAAAAATATTTTATCGAAACTTATTTACTGGATCATAAATTATTATTTAAATTCACGTTAAATAAAACTCTATCTCGCTCCCTCTATCTTTGAATTAAAAAAAGCAATCTCTAAAATCAACCTAACGTGTTTCACTATATATATATATACTATTCACCGCATTGGTTTATATAAAATCGCAGAGCAAACATTTTTTAATCGATTTCTTTCCACGATTTCTTTTTTGTAATTTTCAATACAAATTCACGAGAGGAGCGAAAAAACGATACGATTTGATCGAATCGATCGCGGATACATCACGCGCGATTATTTAATCCGTTTCACGACGAAGAAAAATATGCGCGAGGACTGGAGGCAATTAGAGGCGCGTCATTAAACACGAGGTGGTCAATTAGTCGCTAATTACACCGAAAAAGGGGATATTCGCGCCACGAATTGATTGCACCCTCCCCCAATATGCGATCGCGCGCTTCTTGTTAATCGAAGAACGATTCCTTCGTCTATTATAATCGTGTTAGATTACTGATTTCTTTGAAAGCTTCATGGTATAGAATTGTTGATTTGGAGAGAAAAGTGTAAATGGGAGGATTATTTTTTGAATTGTAATTACGTAAATGATTTACGTAAAATTGTAATTTAGAAAAGTTATGGTATACAAAGGAAAATAAAATTTGAAAAATATTAATATAGGAGGAAAGAACAGTCAATATACTTTTCTTTTCTTCGATATTTCCACGTTTTCCAGAGAAGTCCAGTATAAATTATAAAACCAACGTCGTAAAAAGAAAAAAAAATAAATGATTAGAGAAAAACAATCGCGATAATTTTAATTATTATTTATCCTTTTTTTTTTTCGTTCGAAAAATCGTACTGGTCATCGATCGATTGAACGAATGGTGACTTTCTTCCCGTATAACGATAAAAAATACAACGAGACGATGAGAAGAAGGGAAAAAATCGAGGCGAAACGCGATCCGAATGTAATACGTCCTTTCGCACCGGAGGCCGTAACTGGAATGGAAACGACATTTAATGATCGAAAACATGTTTTCTCCCCACCATTCCCTGCCTTTCGGTTCCCGTTCTAGCGACGATAACCTTCCGAACGAAAACAATTTTCAAAACGAAAACAAATTCGTTCTCCGCCGAATTTATTCAATGATTTCGATCGATCAATTTATCTTTACTTAAATTATTTTTCATTTCATCGTATTTTTTCATTCTAGAATTTAACGAAGAGGAAAAAAATCGAATTTAAAAAAAAATTAAAAATTTCATATCGTTGCTCGTTGATAAAAATAATAAAGATAATAAAAAAAGCTTTATTTTCGGCGGACAATGTTCATCGGGATAAAAATATTATTTAAATTTCAAGTTACGTTAAAAAAAGAAGAAAAAAAAAAAAGCTTGAGTTTAATAACATCGTAAAATTTACTGCTTTTCTGTATATAACGCACGGAATTCTTTCGTTTGATGGAAGGATTCGTCACGAGAATGGAAAGACGGTGAGAATGAAAGACACGTGACAGCTGTGCTGAAGCACAGGAAGCACAGGGTGTCGGTGACGCTATTGGCAGCGAAACAAGGACTGAATCTGCTTAGAAATACACGATAGAGAAGATCGCGTCGTGGTGTGAAAATATCGATTGCGATTTCGTTTCGTATAAATTTAATCTTAACTTCAAAAAAAAGATCAAATCTTCGAATTCAAGTCAACGAAGAAACACTTTACTTATCATATCGAGAGATTCGTAGAAATGAATTCAAACGATAACAATTTAAAAAATTTAACAAGTTTCAAAATCTCGATAAAAATGAACTCTAACTCTATAATTACATTATTATTAATTAACGTAGTAATATTTATAAAATTATATCACTAATAATACCGATCGTATATCATTATGTTAACCATATAAAAAGTACGGAATAAAAGTACAAAATATAATACCAGCGGAAAATTAGAAGAACGAGGCAAGAAACGAGACAATTATAACAATCTTACTCCCGATTAAGTTCGCAACGAATCGCAATTCGATGAGAATCGAGCACCACGGCTGCGAGCAACGAACGGCGAGCAACGAACGGCAATGAAAGTCACAAGTTTCGGAAGATACCTCGATCTTGAGGCGCGAAGTACGGCGATGGAGGTAGCCTGAAGGTACTTCGGATCTCACCTGCGTCCTTGCCACCCTTCACGCAGATCCCAAAGCCATGAGAGTCCGGTGGATCTCTCGTCATGGTGATTGTCCTTACGGTGAGTTCCTGAAGGCTGAGGGGCTGGGAGCTCGGCGAGGTCGGGGGATTGGCCGGGTTCGGCTGCGACTGCTGCGATTGCTGGGACTGCTGCTGTTGCTGGGACGTCGAGGATGGTGTGCTTCTCACCGCGGCAACGCTCGCAGGCGAGGAGGCCGGTGTCCTCCTGTCCCCCTGTCGACGCTCCGAGACACCGTTTCCGAAAAGTCTGACGAAACAGAAATTGCAAATTTCAATCTTTTTTCTTTCTTTTTTTTTTTTCGTAAAGCGTGTCACTCGCAGCTTCCTTTATAACATTTTTATCGTGGCGTTCTCAGTTTTTTTAAAAATGCGGCTTTTGAAATGTTGAGCATATTTGTGAGATATTCTTATGCACGTTGAATATTGAATATTGAATTATTTGATCAGTAGGGTAATTGATTCGTAGAGTATTTTGTAAGAATTCGGATTTGAAATTAACTGAACTCGCGTGTTTTATAATTAAACGAATCGATTATTCAATGAATTTCTAAGTTGTTCGGGTTGATCAATTCACCAACATTTCCCTTAGCTGTTCAATCGGACATTCCATCGATATTTTAACACGACGAAACAATATTACTACAACTACTTACTTCTGTCTAATAAAACTCGAATTATTCCTTATAATTACGATTCAATATTTCTTCGAGAACGCAATTTCACGATCCCCAAAATAGCTCCATGTTCTTCTCTGTTACAACTATTCGATATATAAAAATTTTCACGTAAATAAGAAAGTTAAGAAGGAAACCAGGGATGGAAAGCTTACCTAAGCACCTGCTCAGGTGAGATGGCGCCAGATCCTGCTGTGGCGTGCCCCCTGTGCCTGTACGGGGTGGTGTGGGACGAATGGTGGTGCGGGGCACTCGGCGGCCTCTCGACGATCGTGTAACTCGTGCCGGGAGGGCTGTAATATCCCCTGTGCTGGCTGCCATGGTGCCTGCTCGTCGGCTCCAAATCCTCGGCTTCGTAACAACCGCCGGTACCGCTCCTCAGGAAGTGGGAACCGCTACGCAGGAAGTGGGACCCCCCGCCCCCACCCCACTGCAGCTCCTGTAATTCCGACCCGTAATCCTCCGTGCTGCTGGCCATGCCTTTGGGATCCGTTTTGTCAGACCTGCGCGAATAAAAAGAATAGAAATAGATTAGAATAAAGAAATTCTATTCGAGAAATATATATATATTTTTGTTAATTAATTTTCATCATCATGCATCATGAATCAGCATCAGCATCATGAATTTTGCATTTCGATTAAAATCAAATCGGGAGGGATAAAATTGATTTATCATTTTTGTGCATAACAAGATTGAATATTTAAAAATTGGTAATTTAAAAATAAAAGAATGGTGTTAAGACAAATGTATATAGGAAAGAAATCGAAGAAATCGTTCGAATTTGTGTAAAAATCTGGTGGATCGTCAAAGAAGCAATATTCGAGATTACAAAAATACAACTAACTAGAGGGAAGGGAATCGTTAATAATGAAAGATAAAGAGGGCCACGACCTGAATTTCCCGCGACTGCATCGATCTAGAGTGTCATAAATTAGCGGAGGAGTCCCAGGGGATCATAGAGAAATTCACGCTGTAATATTCAAATATCCTGCGCCATTCAAATACCGAGGTAAACCGATTCTATCCTTTGATCCCGGAACCTTTTTCGATAAAGGTTTGCCACTTTGAATAAACTGAATTCACAGTTTTCAAAATGATTACGAAGAAAAATTAAATTCTTGGAAATTATTTCCATTTCCGGAAATCATCGAATCGATAGAAATTTATTAAAAACGGAATAACCTGGATAATAAAATTCTTTTCAATAGCGAATACGTAACCACGAGAAATATTATATTTATTTGTATTTACACATTGATTAATATCGCTTAAGCAATATTTTCGCAATATTTCCACGCGCAACAACTTTTACAATATCCCCCCCCTCAAAAATTTTCAATATTCTGAAATCTATCGTATTCTTTTTCGTAATATCCCAACTTGCCCAACCTAACCTAAGAAATTCGAAAGAGATTGTTAAAATTTTCCATAACGTTCGTAAAATATCCCCTGTATACGAAGCCCTGTATTTAATTACCGATCTTCCAATTACTAACTCGTATATCAAATATACGATACGAAGGAAGGATCGAGTACAGGAGAGAATGCACGAACGCTCGAAACCCAACCACAAAACGATCGATATCTGCTTCGACGTGGAAACGAACCGTTTTATCGAGCGAGCGTGCGGCGCGACCTTACATCGATCGGGGGTATCACCCCGTGGCTAACGAAATTCCACGGTGGTGGAATTCGAAATTATTCGCGTTTTATCGCGTTCACGATCGTCCCTCGATAAAATCTGCGCGTGATACCCGGCGAAACTGTATAGGCGGAGTGGCGATGTCATAATCCCGACCAGGAAACCGGCCATTATCGCCGGAAGAAATTTGAAAGTTTCCCCTCTCGTTCGTGTCGTCACGCCTCATGCAAACCCGCCCACTCGTCAGCAGCGATTTACACGCCCTCCCCCGCTGCATTTCCTCCCTCACGGCCAATCTTATACAGTTCTACCATAGTTGGTTTCCTCGAACAAGGGGCATGCTAACTTCCGGCCCGCAGTTTCCACTTTTGCGAGATAATGTAACCAGCTTTTCTGCCTTCGACGTGAAAGTTTTGGATGTTGAGAAACGAGATGTTGAGAACATTGATATAATCGGAGGGAGAAAGAAGGGTTGCGAAAACAAATTGCAAACAAAGGGAATAAAGTATGGGAGGAAAGGGGTGAAACAAAAAAATGTGGAGAAGGATAGGTTAAAGGGGAAATAGAGTGGAAGTGTAATGTTTAGTTGGCGTGGAGAATCGAATGTCGTTTAGAGGCAGTATCGCGTTTGCATTTTTAGGAAACGCGAGAACATTGTATTTTCAACGAAAAATCCAATATTTCGTAATTTCTGTATTGAACCGTTGTTTCGTTGTTCTCCGAATATTTTCCTACGGGGTATTTCTCGAAATATTCCCGAAATAATTAAAATTTCGTAATTAAAATATTAATCTACCTACAAATATTTTATAGTTTTATGAAAGTTTGCCTAGAATATCTATCTATATCTATATAATTTTCCTCGATGAAACACGATATTTATTTGTGCAACAGGGGAAGGTTTGGAAATTATTATTGAAAATTAAACGGGATATCATTTCACAGTGGTGTACAAAATTTATCGATAAATTTTATAACCAAATTTAAAATTTTATAAATAAATTTCTTTTAATAAATACGAGGAATATTTTTTAATGAAATTTTTATTATTAACGGGGGCAAAAGTTTCGAATGGTTAAAGTTAAATCAAATATGCGGATACACGTATCCTGTCAAAAGTTAAAAACAACATTGAACAAAATGTTGGAATGTGTGCAATTTTTAAATTTTGTCCCACGTGCGATAGAAGAAGAGAATTATATAAAAAAGGCATACGATCCGGAGTCACGTTTTCGTTTTATTCGCCTCCCTCCCTCTTCTTTTCAACTTTTATGACGTATTGCCTTATTTCTATTACGCCTCATGTTTTATGATCGAATACGTAATGGAGGATATCGAATTTCGAAATATATCGTTTTCGGTGTATGCAACGACAATCGAAAATATAATATATCGGAATAATATTTTATAATAACGCATTAAATGTTTCTATTTGAATATCTTGTGCACAGGCTCGCTTTACCCTTTTATAAGATATATCCTCGTATTTCTATTAGGTTTCATATTTTATGACGGACATACATTATAGAGAACATCAAAACTTTCGACATGTGACGCTCTCCGGAATATTGAATTAACATTCCCTCCATCGAATAACCGCTTCACGGTTATTCCACGTAAAAATGTTAAAATTGGCATTAAACAATTATGAAAGTAATCGATGATGATTTGCAAATGATATAAATCAGCGACACGATAAACTCTTGTACACTGTCATAATATTTTTCAATAATTTTATATCAGCAGTTTACAGTTTTCTAATTGCGTATTTTCATTCTTTTACCTATATTATGTGATAATATACAAAGCCGAGATAACCACAATTTTTACAATTATTTTTAATACATCAATGAACGTGTTATCTGACACGATTCTTATCCCCTTTTCATTAAAACTAATCTTTTCAAGAATCAAAATTTTTATAACTCGCAGAAAAATATTTATTTTTCATCAAATAGTAACGAGATTAATTTCACCCGAAACAAATACGTTCATTCGTTTATTCGATTAACTTATTAAATTAAACGTAATTTTGCGTCGTTCAAAATCGAGATTAATACGGTTGAAAAGAAAATTACAGGTAACGATTGTGTACATAACGCGATACCATAACTAGTTTTTATTACGAAGCGAACGAGATGGCGAAAAATGTTCGTGGCTGCGAACAAACGATAAGCAGAAAAAGGTGGCAATTCCTTTTTTTGCTGCTTAAGAGGTCAAAGCAAATAAGAAGTTCGCAAGAGTTAAGATCTCGCATGCACCGTGCACGATTTACAATCATTTACAATCACTTTGGAAATTGACGCAACGTATTATCGATGTCCATTGTATATTAACATCGACGAGGGGGGTTGGAATATCGAAGGCTCCTTTATTCAAATCCATCTCCAGCAAATTGACGATCAAAATTTTAACGTCGAGACTCGTTCGAGATCGAAATTTCACGGATGAAAATCGAAACGAAATTTAATAAATTGAAAATTTGTGGAAAGGATGAAATATCGAAATCGAAGTCTCGATGAGAATCTTTCAACCGCCTACTCAATATTAATTTTAAAATATCGAAGCAAGATTAATTTCAAACATGATCAAAATGGTCGATCCGAAGAAAAAAACGATCCATTCCATCCACACCGATCCGAATTTTCCAAAATTGTTGCGACTTTAATCGCACTCCATCCAGAAAGGAAAGGCGAAAAAAATGAATTCTCTCCACTGCGTTTCGACAAATACAAATCGATACAATCACATGCCGAAAAACACCCATCTCCAACGACAATTTATCAGAATGTAACGCGGAGGGGGATGGACGTAAGATGGACGTATCGAGAGGGAAACACGATCGATCCGATCGTAAATAACAGGGATCAACGAAATCGAGCAGGAAACTGGCGTGGAATATTAATGGAGGATTGGCGCGCAGAGAGGGTTGGACACCCCCTCCCGTGACAGGTCGATTTTCTAGAACAACCGCGGCATTACCGGCGCGCGGCTAACGTTCTAATAGCGTTAGGAAGCCTCCTGTTACCGGCGGAAGAAATTTCGGAGTCATCCGGTTCGCGGTAAATGCATACCTGTGCAAACCCCCGGTGCTTCGTCGTCGTGGATCGATCGTCGGTCCAACGAGCGATGGGATCGACTGGCCTTTAATTCGTACGATCGATTCGATTAAACGAAGAAACCGGTCTCGTTGCGAAGCCGGTGATCTTTCGAAAGCGAAAGTTCTCGATCGATTTGAGAACGCGTCAATTCATTTCAGCCGTTTCAATAGCGGAGTTCAATGATACTCGATCAAGAATTTTATGTGTTGCAAATCAATTGTTTGTAAATCGTGTATTCCTTCGAAAAGATCTGTTACGAAAATCTATTTGAAATTCCCTCGAAGAATAGCCTTCGAGTATTATTTTATTAGTAATGTTAAATAATTGGGATAACGGGATAATGTTAAAAGAAAATCTCACGCACGAATTCTCTTCGCCAATTGAAAAATGAAAGAGAAAAGTTCAAGAGCTTTCAACAAGTGTAACCGTATTCCTGAGAATCGGAGGTATTTGATTTGGTTCGTTATTAAATCCGATCTCGAGAATTAAGAAAAAGATTCGAGTGAACTCTCGGATGATAAAAGTATTTGATATTGATTTTAAGACGTATCCAATAAATCTAGATCGATCATCACTAACCAATAGATAATTCGATAAAAATTTCTCCCCTTATTTACATATTCTCTGCAACAAGCCCGATACTGAAAAGTAATAACATTTCTCTTTTTTTAATATCACTCGGCGATTTTACCTCGACATCATCCAGCATAGAGAACGAAATATCGACGGTTTCAGAAACGTTATCCCCTATGACCTGTC